TTTGAATTTGAAAGCTCATCTGACAAACACCGTTAAGACTCTCCAAAGTAGTCTTATGGAAGAGATGACCAAGCTCAAAGCCGATGTCCTCATGAACCAAGCTTCCAATGAGAAATGCCTGAATGATTTGACGGAAACCTTGCGCATTACGCGAGAGAGAACCGAGACCTTGCCAGACTCATCTACCGTTTCTTCGAAGAGATAGACGCCATCTGGAAGGTACTCGGAAAGGACAGAACATCAACACCGTAATTCGTGAACACAGAATTGAAGAAGGAATTGTCGAGGAAGAAGAGGAAAAGAAAGAAGAAGAAGAGGAAGAAGAGAAGAAGAGAAACACGAAGAAGAGGAAGTTTGGGCAACCCTTGTTGCCGATGACGCTTACGAAATTTCCCAACCCTACCCATACCAAATCCGCAACAAGGAGACAGGCAAGGTTCTTACCCCAGTCCTCAACAACTTGGGACACTTGAACCTTAACCTTCGGAATCGCGGTTCAATCTCCATGGGCAAGCTTGTCGCAATTCAATGGGTTCCAAATCCAGACAAGAAGACGAGGGTCAGACACATTGACGGTGACAAGCTCAACAACCGTAAGGAGAACCTCGAGTGGTTCTAAGAGTAAAAAAATTTTATTTTAGGGGGAAACCCCAGTAAATTTAGGTGTTTATTTGGATAAGTATGTTAAATTAAGGGTAATTTGCAAAATTAGTTCCTGACCTCTGAATTGGACTCTTTCGTCATCCCAGTTGCGTAGGAGGTCGTCCCAGAGGAGTTGGTAGAATTGCCAATCCAAGGACGATTTGTCCTCCCAGGCATTGAGGATGTACTGCTCGTAGAGTCTCATGACCTCTGCCTTGCACCAGACACCCTCTCCCTTGGAACGTAAGGCTTCTTCGAAGTGCTCGAATGCGATTGGCTGCGGGACCATCTGAAATGACACTTTTTGTCCGTTTGGTCAATGTTCGTGTCTCGTGTCATAGTCGACGAAAATACAAACAAACAGGTTATATATGAGTTTGAGACCAAGAATGGTGTAACTCGACCTGTCCGATTCAAATTCGAATAAAAATTTTTTACTTCATGCAATGTTTTATTTCTGTGCCGTCTTCAAGTATGCCCCAGTACTTACGCTTGGAGAGGACATGAACTTCGGTGAAAATTTTGTCCAATTTGAATTGACCCATCTTTTCACCGACCATTCCCATTTCAATGAGTTTGTTATAGCCTTCTTCGTTCGTCATGAGTGCGTCAATGTTCTCATAGTAAACCTTCACTTTGGATTTGACTTCGGAGAAGAATTTGTTGTAGTTGTCAAGGACTGCCTTTGCGAACTGAGGGTAAGACCAATGTTCGACAATAGGTTTTAATGTGGTTACTAAGCCACTTTGACCTTGAGTGAATTCGTACTTCAAAACAAAAGGAGAAAACCTTTCAACAAAGTTGTCGACCTTCTCATAATGTTTACTCTTCATCTCTTGAGGTTTCTTAATGGAATATCCCCATGTCGAATTCATAAGCAATTTGAGTGTCATTGCAAGTTTGGGGTTTGAAGCTTTCCTAATATCATACAGTTGTTGTATGACTTTTCCAACTGTATAGTTCCTTCCCGGGAACTCACCATCTTCGTTTGGAATTCCAGTCGGGATATATTGGACAAACCTCATGTATGCAGCGTTAAGGTCGACATAGTATATCTTTTCATCTGAGTCGAACTTGTCGCAACCAATTGGTCCAGTTTGTGGAAATTCAAGTGAGTCTCTTATCTTCTGAGAAACTTCTCCTGTTATCTCATAAACATCGTCGAAGCAACCTGTTTCATATAAAACCTTCTGACCTAACTCAGATGCTCTCCAATACAATTTGACGTCAATTGGATGTCTCAATGGAAGTTTGTTTATAGCATCTTGAAGTTCTTGCAACCTCATTGGAAGTTCTTCTGGTTCAGGTTGGTATCCGAACAATCCAACTCCTTTTGGAATTGTGTACTTCTTTTGTACTAGAACTTTGTCTGGAACAACTTTTGGTCTTGCTAACAATGAAAAGTTTGTTTCGTCTTTTGGTACAAAAGTTTCTGTCAGCTTGTCATCTGGAATTGGTTCCAACAAACCTTTCTCGAAAAGAATGTTTACAGCTCTGACAATGTTGCACTTGCCTTTTCCGAACAATGGGTTTGTAAGACTTTCGTTCAACATGAAGTGGTTGTGGACAATTGCAATCTTCAACCATGGTAAGTCTTTGTCAACAACATAGTCGTCATGTGAAGAACCTTTAGCTGTAGGTATGTTGACTCGGATATTGACATTTGCCAACGGTGCAATTTTTGCCAATTGACCTCTGAGAATGTACCTTGTCTTCACACATGACTCAAGATACTTCATCTTCTCTTCTGTAACAAGACCAGAGTTCCTGAGACATGTAAGAATACAAGGTTCATTGACAATTGTTTCAATTGAATTGTAAATTCCATACCTTGTCAAGTCAATGTCAGACTTATTTATGAACGGGAAGTATCCAGCATGTTGTCTGACTGCTTGAGGGTTAGGTTGGTACCATTCGAACTTGACACTTGCAATTCCTTCAATTGCATTCAAAATGTCTGAGTCGGAGTCAACCATTTGTTCTCTCTTTGTAGTCTTGAAAGCGTCAAGAAGCATTGCAGCTGTTGTGACATTGCCATGCATAGTAATATGACCGTCCAAATCTGTTATGGTCAATCTGAGATTGTATCCTTTCTTATTTCCGTCTTGTAATGGCAGCAAGTACTCCCATGAAGCCTTCTTTGTTCTTTCCTTCGTCAAAGTTTACTGTAAAGGTTCGACCAGATGTAATTTGACTTCTAACTTCACGATACTTTTCATATGCATATCTTGTTCTTTCCATGGGAGCATGTGCGTCTTCACCTTTTCCTTTTTTCCTTCTCAAAGGATGCAATTGTTCGTCATGTTTCCAGTAGAATCTGGCAAAGCCGTCGTGTCCTTCAACTTGAGGTTCACTAACATCGAAAGGCATGTCCATAAGACGTTCTTCTTCTAACCTCTCTAGTCTGTTTGGATAATTTGCACGTGCTGTTTCCAAATCCATTTCGTAGCGAAGACCAGACAATTTGTCATAGACTTTTATGGGTCTTCCCTTCCTATATTTAAACTTCTTTGAAACTCTCCAACCATATCTTTCTAACTCTGCTTTTATTCTAGCAGACTTCTATCCATTCTATATGGGGGCATTTTTATAAAAATAAAAAAATGTTTTTTCTTTACTTTACATAACCGCCTGCTGCCATAAGTCTTTGACGCCAACCCATACCAGCTAATGAAGGTTGACTTGGTTTAGTTTGGAAACTAAACTTTGGTTTTGGTTTATCTTCAGTTTTTGGTTCTCTTCTTCTATCGGTTTTTCGTCACTTTTCGGTTCCTCTGACTTTACCTCACTGCAGGAACAGTTGTGTCGTCAACATCTTCATAAATATCATATGCCATTTGTTTTTGTTTTCCTTTCAACTTTTTGTGTTTGTTGTAAAGTTTAGAATATTTCGACTCTAAGTCAATGAGATGTTCTATAATGAACTGTTGGTCAGTGAAGTAAACTTTTCCATCTGTTGTCTCGAAAGCTCCTTCAGACTTCAATATTTTATTTGTGAGAGTCTGTTTCTTTTTTGAGATACTAGCCGTTCCATTTCTATGAAAAGTGACTTTAGTTAGGGTTTGTATTTCCAGACCTGGCACTTTCTATTATTGAATTTTTCTCTTCATCTGTAAGTTCTTTGACAGGTTTTGACAATGGTTCTGAACTTTTTGTTTGTGGTGTCAAATCTACCGTTTCAACTTCTTCGGTCATTTCATCTCAGTAAAAAATTTTAGTTTGGTTTGTTTTCAACTGGTTGTTTAGGTTTTTTAAGTCGGTCTAAAACTTCCTGAGGTATAGGAAGAACTTGACAAACACGTGGTTGTGTAACTGCTGGAAGCCGACAAATCCATCTTGAACCCATTTGTCTCAATGCTGTATTGTTCATTTCATCTCAGTAAAAAACTTTACATTCCCACGTTTGAGGCGGTTGAGGTTGGTTATTGTTTACCCATTGTTGTGCATGGTTATATCCTCTGTTAAAGAATCTTTCACCTTGGTCCATATAGTGTCCTGCTTGGTTATAGTAGTCATTTGCTTTGTTATAATAGTTTCCTGCTTGTCTTCCTACATTGTCCATCCATCCTTGAACTTTTCCTCTTGTTTCAGGATTTGGAATAAGATTTGCTGCATCTCGTGCTACATCCCAACCTTTCTGTACAGTTTGTATAATAGGTTGTGCTTTCTCTTTAAGTATACCTAATGTACTCAAAATCTTCCTTCCAACTCCAAATACACCTCTGGCTATTGTTCCCACTGCGGGCAAAAATCTGGATGCAACTCCTGCTAATGCGCCAAATAAACCCATTTCTTATAGGGTAAAAATGACGAATCCAAACAAGGACCCCTATGTTTCTAAGGCAACAAAGAAAGCACTCATGATAAAAATCTTTAGTTCAACACCAAATGCTTGGTTTATGGATATCTTGGAAAACATTCCGAGGTATAGAGAAGATGGACCACCATACTGGCTAATATTTGTCGGTCAAAACACAAGATACTGTGAAGCCATACCATTACAGTCCAAAAATATTTTAGATATCTTAGCAGCTTTGACAATATTCGTTGACAAATACCATCCAACAAAACTGACATCTGACTGTGAAAGTTCTTTCAAATCAGACGATATTAAAAACTATCTGCGTTCAAAAAATGTAAACCAATATTTCATTGTCGACCAAAACCATTCTGCTCTTGGTGTCATTGACAGTTGTATAAAAATCTTAAGAGACTTAAATCAACCACAAGGTGGTGAGGTAGATGAAATGTCATATGACGACAAATATAGACACTTCTCCATGGCAAAGATGAGACAAGTTTTAAATATTTACAATAGCCGTAAACAAAAAGGTTTGGGAAACCACTCCCCCGAAGAAATGAAAAACAACCCCGACTTAGAGAAAGACTATATATTTAATAGTTTAGTCAAAAGAGACAAACAAGAAAGAATGCCAGGCTTCAAACTTAAGAAAGGTGACAAAGTAAAAATAGAAATACCTAAACGCGACCCATATGAAAATACTATTGACTATGACAACAATGGGAACTCGACAGGTACTCGCATTCGTGTTCGTAAAAATAGAAGAAAGTATACAAGAGAATATTATGAAGTTTTAGGCAAACATGGCAAAATGTACAGACTGCAAGCAGAAGATAAAACGACTATTGTCAGACCTCGTTTCAAACTTGTTAAGGTTCAAGGTGGTATACTTTCAAAGACAGTTCCTAACAAATATAAGACAACTCCTGACGAATATGCTAAAGAAGTTGAAAATGACGACTAAGCAATTCTATACCATGCGTAAACTGTCATGTAAGGTGGCATGTAGTCTTTACTTTGTCCCGTTGTTTGCGTATATCCTGAAACGCGATGTGTATGGTTTCCTCCTCCCTCAGTGTTACTCCAGTAACAATCTATAGCAAACTTAACGTTGTCTTTAACATCATATCCTTTACCTTTTATCATTGCTGCCCAATCCCAATATCTATGCTTATGCCAACCTGCTTGAGATGTACTTAAATCTATGTAGTGACTATGTGCAGGTAGATTTTCACCTGAAATCGTTTTACTTCCACCTGTTTCCTTTGAAGAGTTTGCACAATACAAAAACCTGTCGACTATTTGAGTCCAAGTTCCAAAACCAAGTACTACTTCTGGTCTGGTAGAGTTCATTGACGTATAAATAGAGCCTATAGGATATAATGTTTGAAGTATTTCTGTCTTTAATGTTTGAAGCTCTGTTTTGTCTGCTTTTTTATATAACTTTTCTTCAAGTTCATTTACGTCAGAGATGCTATGTCTATGATATTTTTGTGGGTATGTTCCTTCTGTCCATGCTAAAATACGTTCTTTTGTTGCATCTACATATCCAGCTATCCATGTCGAGTCTGCTTTTGTATTCCTTAACTCTGTAACACCTTTCTCAAGCTCTTTCAACTGTTGTCCATCTTCCATTAAACCTCTGGTATGACTTGAAACCGTTTGTGTCAACATATCTACAGTTTCTTTGTCGGCTTTAAGGTCTAAACATCCTGAAACCCACCCTGTATTGGCTTTACCTTCTAAAATCTTCGATGTCCGTTCATGGTACCATTCAACCCTTTTTATAATTTCATTGTCTTTTTCATCCACATATTCCTTATCTGCCTTCTTCACTAACCCACTAGCCAGATATGCTAACTCATCGTCAACATACTCTTTGTCAGCTTTCTTTTCAACATCCTCTTTTGTTGCATATGTTGCATCTGCTCTGTCATGTTTTCTTGAACTTTTTCAATGACATACTCTTTGTCAGCTTTGTTGTCAATATCTGCTTTCAAAAGAAGTTCATCTATAGGTTTCTCGTTTAAAGTTCTTTTTGTTGGATTTATACAAACAGTATGGTTCTTGTTGTCTTGAAACAGAAACTCGTCTGTCATTGGGTTTATCGTCAGTTTTAAGTTTCCTTCTTTCAATGACTCAGATATCTTAGAATAGTTTGAAAAGTTTGTTGTGTTCTTATTTAGAGCTTGCATAATGAGTTGTCGGTTGTGTTGTATTTCTCTCATAGACGCTGTTTCATTTGACATTTTTATTCTAGATAAAATATGCTTCCAATAGAAAAAGAAAATTCAAGAGTTGCTACAACTAAACCATTAGATGAACTTTTTACGAATGTCGGTCAAAAGTTTGAGACAGAGACCGTAAAGCATGAAGGCTATCGTTTTGACTACCCATTAAGATGGCTAAGAGACCCATCTGTCACAAAAGCTATTGGCTTTCGTAGAATGAAGTTTGTGTCTGTAGAAGATAAAAGTTTTCCATTTATTGTAAGGTTTCATATAGATTATATATCTGAAGGGAAACGAAAAATGTGGGAAGAAATTGAGCTAATACAAGTTGACCTTTCATCTTCTCTACAGACTGCGTTAAAAAATATAGAAGATAAAATAAATTCATGTTATGCAAAATATGCTGATGAATATGCAAATACCGAGAGCACACTTTATGTGAGAATTGTATATGACAAACAAAATTCACAAGTGTCATTTCAAATCTACGAAGACAATCCAAAGAAAGACGAACAAATATATACAGAATTCACTGCAATGTCATGGTATTATTTGCAAAGAATGTTAAATCAGAAAGTCGAACTTCCTTTAGCAAATATTTACAGTCGATATGCAAGAGATGAACCATATTTATTTAAAGATGTTTTCGACCCAGCTGCTATTATTGTTCATGCTTCATTTTCTGGCGCCCAAAACTCTTTCTTATGCTTGGCAAATGACTTTTACGAAAAACCTACAAAGTTATACGAACCACCAAGTGGAAGTATTTCAGACTTTCAAGTATGGTTTACTACAGATGGAAGAAAAAGAATAATTCCATTATACCATGCGTTTTACTTAGAACTTAGTTTCATATACAACTACTATCGAACGGTAAAAATATAATTTTTTAATACGGTTGAGGTGTTGGATTTGGTTGCCAACTTGACTGTGGTGCAGGTTCAGGCTGTTGTATAACAGGAGCTTGTTCTTCTGGTTCAGGGTCTTTAGGTATAATACCAACGAACTGACCTACTCTTTTGCCAATATTTTTGACTCCGTTCCAAATTCCTCTTCCTACGGTTTTTATTCCATTCCATATACCTCTTCCAACATTTCGAAAAAAGTTTCCTATTCTTCCAAAGAAACCCATTTTACTATATGTAAAAATCTAATGTCCACCTAGTCTCTTACGTTTCCTGTTGAGTTCCATAGCATTTTTTAACTGGAGCTCATACATTCTATTTCTCCTCTGGTAGAAAACATACTCTGGGTCAACTCCTGTGTTCGCGTCATCTGCATAGAGTTGTTTATATCCCACTTCAGGGTTTGTATAAAACTCTTTCCATCTCATATTTGCATACCATGGTGGTAAGCCTAACGCAGCGTCATTTGACATGGCAGTTTGCATTTGTACATCTGTTGGCACTTGACCATAGTTTGCCATTGCAGTTTGTATTCTAACTTCATTTGGAATATTCTCTGGGTTTGGTTGTCCAGGTTGCTGTGCATTCGCTAAGTTCTGTGCGTCCATTTAATATTAGATAAAAATATCTCTTACGAGTACATATGCTGAACATTTGCAGGCATTGGTTCATCTTCATATTCTCTATATCTTTCTGCCACGTCAAATAAATAAATGACACAATGGAAAAAACCTAAAACAAGTAGTCCTATTTCAAACCACATTTACTTACCAATAAAATTTCTTTATTGTGACACTTTCTCCAGTTTATAGGACCTCTCTCATATTCTATCTTGTCATATCTAAACTCATAGTCATGTATGTCCTCTAACCATCTCATAACGGTTTCCAAACCACTTTTATCGGATGTAAAGTAAAAGCATGGATGGTTATGTAAAACGTCTAAAGTTTCTAAAGAGTCTCTCAAAGTCCAGTCTACTTGGTATTAGTTTTTTGGTTTTCTCGTTTTCTTCTTCTATCGGTTTTTTGTCACTTTTTCGGTTCCTCTGACTTTACCTCACCTGCAGGACAGTTGTGTCGTCAACATCTTCATAAATATCATATGCCATTTGTTTTTGTTTTCCTTTCAACTTTTTGTGTTTGTTGTAAAGTTTAGAATATTTCGACTCTAAGTCAATGAGATGTTCTATAATGAACTGTTGGTCAGTGAAGTAAACTTTTCCATCTGTTGTTCTCGAAAGCTCCTTCAGACTTCAATATTTTATTTGTGAGAGTCTGTTTCTTTTTGAGATACTTGCCGTTCCATTTCTATGAAAAGTGACTTTGTAGTTAGGGTTTGTATTTCCAGACCTGGCACTTCTATTATTGAATTTTCTCTTTCATCTGTAAGTTCTTTGACAGTGTTTTGACAATGGTTCTGAACTTTTGTGGTGTCAAATCTACCGTTTCAACTTCTTCGGTCATTTCATCTCAGTAAAAATTTTAGTTTGTTTTGTTTTCAACTGGTTGTTTAGGTTTTTTAAGTCGGTCTAAAACTTCCTGAGGTATAGGAAGAACTTGACAAACACGTGGTTGTGTAACTGCTGGAAGCCGACAATCCATCTTGAACCCATTTGTCTCAATGCTGTATTGTTCATTTCATCTCAGTAAAAAACTTTACATTCCCCACGTTGAGGCGGTTGAGGTTGGTTATTGTTTACCCATTGTTGTGCATGGTTATATCCTCTGTTAAAGAATCTTTCACCTTGGTCCATATAGTGTCCTGCTTGGTTATAGTAGTCATTGCTTTGTTATAATAGTTTCCTGCTTGTCTTCCTACATTGTCCATCCATCCTTGACTTTTCCTCTTGTTTCAGGATTTGGAATAAGAATTGCTGCATCTCGTGCTACATCCCAACCTTTCTGTACAGTTTGTTATAATGGGTTGTGCTTTCTCTTTAAGTATACCTAATGTACTCAAAATCTTCCTTCCAACTCCAAATACACCTCTGGCTATTGTTCCCACTGCGGGCAAAAATCTGGATGCAACTCCTGCTAATGCGCCAAATAAACCCATTTCTTATAGGGTAAAAAATGACGAATCCAAACAAGGACCCCTATGTTTCTAAAGCAACAAAGAAAGCACTCATGATAAAAAAATCTTTAGTTCAACACCAAATGCTTGGTTTATGGATATCTTGGAAAACATCCGAGGTATAGAGAAGATGGCCACCATACTGGCTAATATTTTCGGTCAAACACAAGATACTGTGAAGCCATACCATTACAGTCCAAAAATATTTTAGATATCTTAGCAGCTTTGACAATATTCGTTGACAAATACCATCCAACAAAACTGACATCTGACTGTTGAAAGTTTTCAAATCAGACGATATTAAAAACTATCTGCGTTCAAAAAATGTAAACCAATATTTCATTGTCGACCAAAAACCATTCTGCTCTTGGTGTCATTGACAGTTGTATAAAAATCTTAAGAGACTAAATCAACCACAAGGTGGTGAGGTAGATGAAAATCATATGACGACAAATATAGACACTTCTCCATGGCAAAGATGAGACAAGTTTTAAATATTTACAATAGCCGTAAACAAAAAGGTTTGGGAAACCACTCCCCCGAAGAAATGAAAAACAACCCCGACTTAGAGAAAGACTATATATTTAATAGTTTAGTCAAAAAGAGACAAACAAGAAAGAATGCCAGGCTTCAAACTTAAGAAAGGTGACAAAGTAAAAATAGAATACCTAAACGCGACCCATATGAAAATACTATTGACTATGACAACAATGGGAACTCGACAGGTACTCGCATTCGTGTTCGTAAAATAGAAG